CAGGAATGCACCCCCAAACCAAGGGGATGAGTGTCCTCCTGCCACCCAGGTCCTGCTCCCTGAGGAGGGGGACGTGGGACCCCTTGCCTTGCCCTGGGGGGCACAGACTTACCTCCCACCACAGCCCTGGGGCCAAGGGAGGGGCAGGACCCCCTGCCTGCATCTCAGGGGTCCAGCAAACTCCCCTCAAGGAGGGAAACCCCAAAATTCAAAGGGTCCCTGGAAAAGCCCCGGGGACGGCAGGACAGCACCCCTCCCCGCTCACAGAAATATCCAGGGCAGTGTGGGGAAACTGAGGCACAGAGCACCCTGAGCAGGGCAGGCCCACAGACTCCATGTAGGCGCCTTCAGCCTGTGTCCATGTGTCCCCAGCCATGTGTCCCCAATGCACACGTCTGCCCAGTGCCGCCATGGGCACTGGGGACAGCACTGTCACCCTCTGCCCAGTGTGGAGGGTGGGAAGAGCCTGCGGCACTGTGCCAGGCTGGTGCTGAATAATTGAGGAGCATCGATATGCTGGCTCCACTCCCTGTGGCAGCTGGAAAGCTGGCAGCCGTCCCCAGGGAGGGGACAGGGAGGGGACCTGGGACCCGCTTCCCTCTCCCTGGTGCTGCCTTTTTTTCCTTTGCTCTGCCCCACTTCCAAGAGTGGCCTTGGGAGCACCCTCGGGTGCACTGGGAGCTCGACCCCACCGGCCAGGGTGGCAGTGCTGACCTGCATGGGGCTGCTGTCCCCATGGTGTGAGCAGCCACCCCACGTCCCAGGACAGATCCCCATGCCCCTGTGTCACTGGGGACATCCTGGGGAAGATCCCCATGTCCTCATGTCCCTGTGAAAGTTGGGACATCCAGGGGCAGGTCCCAATGTCCCCACAGACATCCCAGGGCAGGTCCCCATGTCCTTGTGAAATTTGGGACATCCAGGGGCAGGTCCCCATGTCCCCATGGACATCCTGGGGCAGGTCCCCATGTCCCTGTGAGATTTGGGACATCCAGGGGCAGGTCCCCATGTCCCCAGGGACATCCTGGGGCAGGTCCCCATGTCCCTGTGAGATCTGGGACATCCCAGGGCAGGTCCCCATGTCCCCATGTCCCTGGGAACGGCACTCACGTCCGCTTTCCTGAACTTGGCCTTCAGGCTCTTCATGGCGGCTCCAGCCTCAGCCCCGTGGCACCTGGACGGGGGACGGCCATGCTCGAGGGTCTCTGCCCCACCGGCGCCGGCTCAGCCGCCCCCAGACCCGCCGCTCCCGTAGCCCCGTCCTCGCCGGCCGCGTCTCCCCTCGGCCGCAGCGCCCGGAGCGGGGGGAACCAGAGCCGAAGGAGTTGGGTTACGGCCTGGCTGCGGTTACAGCTGGCAGCGCTGGGCAGCCGGGGGGGCTGCGGGGGGACCTGCCCCCTTTGGGGAGGGGGTCTGCTTGCCCCCCTGAAATGCCCAGGGAGAGGGAGGCGAGGGGACATGGCCACGGCAGGGCCGGGCCCGGAGGGGGGCTGGGGGCAGCAAGGTTGGGCTCCGTGGCTCCCTCGGGACTCTGGGGCTGCAGGTAGCCTGGGGCACGGCTGGGCCCCGGCCGGCTGGCACCTCCTGCCCCGCTCGCCCCCCGCCCCCCATCCCAGCCCCGGGCGCGGGGGGCCGCCGAGGCCCGGCAGGCTGAGGGCAGCCGCCCCCCCCCAAAACGCCTCCTCGCCCGGCACAAAGATGGCGGCCGCGGCGTCCTCCCCCGGGCGGTGCAGGCCGGGGCGGGCCATGGCGGTGAATTACGCGGCCGGGCTCTCGCCGTACTCGGACAAGGGCAAGTGCGGCCTCCCCGAGGTGAGCGCGGTGCGGCGGGGGCCTCCCGGGCCCAGCCGGGGCCTGCTCCGGCCTGACGGGTTTCCGTGGCAACCGGGCCCTCGGCCCCCATGGGTGTCTCCCGTGGGGAACCCAGCACCGGGGGCCCCTTTGTGTCCCCCCGGGCCCGCCCCGTGGCTCCCTCCTCGTCCCCCTCAGCCCCCTGGCTCCCTCCTCGCCTTCTCCAGCCCCGTGGCTCCTTCCTCGTCCCCACAGGCCCATGGCTCCCTCCATCTGTCCCTGTGCCCACCCCATGGCTCCCTCGTCGTCCTCTCCAGCCCCGTGGCTCTCTCCTCATCCCCACAGGCCCGTGGCTCCCTCCATGTTCCCCCAGGCCCAGCCCATGGCTCCCTCCTCGTCCCCCCCAGCTCCATGGCTCCCTCCTCGTCCCCCCCAGCCCCGTGGCTCCCTCCTTGTCGTTGTCCTCCAGGCCCAGCACTATCCCCCTGTTTCGTGCCCCCCTCCCCAGTGGAGATCCCCAGGGTTGGGTGTGAGGGGCCCGTCCCAGGCACCGCAGGGGTGATCCCAACCCCGTGCCCCCAGCAGTACTCGGGAAGCTTAACACAGGTGTTGGGGTGAGGGGACAGGGACATTCAGGGGCCTGTCCTGAGCCTGGGGGGGTGAGGGGACATGGGCATGCAGGGGCCTGTCCTCAGTCCCTGTCCCTAGGAGACCGGGCTGGAGAAGCATCTCGCAGAAATGAAATCATGTGCCCCTGTTAGAAAGCCGGCTGGGCCCACGGTCCCGTCCAGCCACAGCATCCCCGCGTCCCCCATCTCCATGGCTTCCCATGTGGCTCGATGTCCCTCAGCCCTGTCTTGTCCGCAGCGCCAATGGCTGTGCTGGTGACAGCTGGACTTGAGCACACATGGGGTGGCACCGGGTTCGCTCCTGTCCTCCCACTGCCCGGCGGTGCCCTGGAGCCCAGCCACTTCTCGGGGTATCAGCTGCCTGTCAGTGAGAGCAATAAATACTCTCGGCTGCGTTAGGTGTTTTAAGCCCTTACCCTGCATGGCGGTGGTTTATACAACGCTGTTTCTCTCTGATTAAACGCTTCTGTCATTAAGGAATGCAAAATCTTCTTTCCTTTCATGGATAAGAAAGAATCGTGGTTTACTGGGTCTTTGTGCTGGGAAGCGTGTAGGATCTATCCCTGCATCTCTCCATTCCCGTGGTGGTTTGTCTCTTCTGCTCAGATTTTTGACCCGCCGGAGGAACTGGAGAGGAAGGTGCGGGAGCTGGCAGACTTGATCAGGAGTTCCTCCAATGTGGTGTTTCACACGGGGGCTGGAATCAGCACCGCCTCGGGGATTCCCGACTTCAGGTAAGGACGGTGGGCAGCAGGCGAGGGGTTGGGAGGATGGCACCTTCTCCGAGTCCACCTCATGTCTTGTAAAGCTCTGGACTGTGCTTCCTGCTACCCCAGCCAGACCTACTTCTGTCTGGTCCTGGATCCAGCTGAAAATACCCTTTCCCGCTTGCACACCCGTCTGATGTTAAGCCGTACCCACAGAAGCCCTACGTGCGCTCTGCTTGCATCAATGACAAAAATCGCTGATGATACACGACCTTCGTTTAGCAGTGCCCTGCTCATCCTCTGTTGATAGGGCTTGTGGTGCATTTACAGCTGTCTTTTAGATCCTCAGCTCTCACTTCTCACTCTTTCTGTCCCCATTGCTGCAGGGGGCCCAATGGTGTCTGGACTATGGAAGAGAAGGGGCTCTCCCCAAAATTCGACACCACCTTTGAGAATGCCAGGCCCTCCAAGACTCACATGGCGCTGCTGGGACTGCAGAGAGTCGGCATCCTGAAATTCCTGGTCAGCCAGAACGTGGACGGCCTTCACGTGCGTTCAGGATTCCCACGGTACTGCCTCTCCCGCCCTGTCTCCGGGTCCCTTGTCCCTGTCCCAGCTGCTGCCGCGTGGCTGTTCTTGCTGCCCGATTGGCGTGGCCTCGTGTGCAAATGTTTGGTGCTGGGGCTTGATTTCCAAGGCTGGCTCAGAAGCTGTCTGCCCACTGGTGTTGGGAGTGGAAGCTGGGATGTGCTGGTGTGGGAAGGGGAACATAAACCAGCTTGAATTTAGAGAAGCAAGGTTATGGTAATAATTCAGAAGGTGATGAGATGAAGTCAGCATCAGTCGATGCTCTCTAAAAGTACACCCAGAAGCCATTTGTTCACAAGAAGAACGAACAGGTTGTGGTGTTGGGCTGTCACATGTTACCACCTATCAGCTGAGTGGCTGTAGCTCTCGGTGCCGCTGTGAGCAGCCTGGCTGCGCTGCGTGGCTGCCTGGGGGCTCGCGGCCCGGGGAGCGAGACGTCAGCTTCAAGTAGGGCACGTGCTCCTGGGAACTGGGCTCAGAGCTGCACTCAGGCCGCATGGTCCTTTCTGCTGCCTCTGTACCCATCCGGAGGGGTAAACGGACAGGAGGGAGGATGAGAGCATCTGAAATTGCTCGTGCTGCTTGCAGAGATGCATCACCCTGCTTTATCAGCGTTGCTAGAGCTGTCTCAGAGCACTGGATCTTGTGCTATTTTACAGTTTGCTTAAATTGAATTTCTTGAGAGAAAATAAAGGTGGTGCTGCCCCAGTGATGAAACCATGCCTGGGCCCAAGATAGCCTTAAAAAGTACTTTGCCTCTCAATGAATTTGTGAAACTGCAAGGGCGGCAAGACGGAGAGAGTCCTGCAGTTGAAACTGGTCTTACCGGCTGTGGTCTCTGATTTCTTCTCCCTCTGCGATGAGGTCAGGGATCCTGCGTAGCCGTGTTCCCTCTGCGACGTGTGGGAGCAGAGGGTACAAGATCTCCTCTCCCTGCATGGGTGGGGACTGAATTGCATTTAGCAGCGCAGTGGCTGTTTCCGAGATGTCCTCAAAGGAACCTGCCTTTCCATTAGCACTTGCAGCAACAGGCTCTTTTCCCTTTGAGAAACTTCAGCCTGTCATAAAACCCATTTCCAGCACTTAAGACCAGTGAGCGATTGTCTTGTGAGGCAAACTGCTTGGAGCTGCCTGGAAAGGAAAAGGAGAGCAGCTGAATTCAAGTAAGGAAAAAAAAAAAAAATGAAGGGAGTTGGGATGAGAATGAGGAGCATGAATGGGACCTCAGAGAAGACGTATCTCACAAATGTCTTCAGCCATCACGAGCTGAGCAGAGAGCTGCCTCCAGGGGGTATTTTGTATTATTAAAAGCCCTGAGTCCTGGTTCCTGCTCTTAGCACCGCATTTGCCTTTCTAAATTAAACAACTGTGGGGAAAAAGAACAGGAAATAATGACCAGAACTCAGCTGTGCTCCCTGCAGCCTGGTGCCACTGGCTCCCGCTCTGGTTTAGCACAGCTCTTCCACCGAAACGAAGCATGTGCTTAAGTAAGCGCAGCTGAACTGGGGCCAGAATGGGGGAAATCAAGTCAGTCCTGTCTTCCTCCACCCTGGAGATGTTCCCAGTCACTGTGGGGCTTGTAGGAACATAGGGAGAGTGTGGCCTTGTTTTCCTCTAGCTTCTGAGCTTTGAGGCTCACGTTGAGCTCGAGGGGATTTTTAGTCAAAACGAGTGGCCAAGGGCTGGAACGTGCAAGGGCAGAGAGGAACATGGAGTGCTGAGAAGAGCAAAGATCCAGGTTACTGCCGGGCGCAGAGAAGGTTTGAGGCTGGATCAGAACAGGGGCTAGAATTGGTGCTGCAGATGGATGCATTTAAAATTAAAAAGCCAGGACATGCTGTCCCTCCCCTTAGTCCCCGCTGTGGTGGCCGTAGCATAGTGCTTTCGTGATGGAGATGAAACCATGGTGCAGAAGGCCTCTCGCCAGGATCAGAACGTGGCCTCTGTGTCTCCCCTGCCCCGTGAGAGGGACAGCTCTGCCCAAACTCCCTCTGAACAGTATTTCTTGTGTTAAATGCGCAAAGCGTGCTCAGTGTGCTGTAGTTTTGCCAGCACCTGCATGTGATGGCCATGCTCGGCTCAGGGAAGCTCCCCTGCTCGGTGGCTGGACCAATGGTCTTCTCTGCCGGACCAACTGCCTCCGTGCAGCAAGGCCAGGTCATTTTGTGGCTCCCAGTGCCCCCAGAGCCTGCCTGACACTGGTGCCTTGCTCTGATGCTGCCATATTTGTCTATAATTAATATAATTCCGCTCAGTGCTGCCCCCTGGGGCACTGTCCCCAAGCCATGGCAGAGGGTCCCTGCCACCCCACGTCACCTGGCAGATCTGGGTCAGCAGAGCTGGAAAGTGGGGAAGCTCTTGAGGTGCAGGGCCCCTGGTGAGGAGGGGGGTTTGGGCAGCTTTCCCGGTTGCCCCAGGGCTCTCCGCCCTTCCCCAGCTCACCTCTGCCCTTTCTCCCACAGGGACAAGTTGGCTGAGCTCCACGGGAACATGTTTGTGGAAGAGTGCGTGAAATGCGGCAAGTACGTGAGCCCTCAGCCTGGGGAGGGCATCAGCGGGGTGGGGGCTTTGTCGTGTCCCCAGGGAGCGATGGAGGCCCTGCACGTGCCATGGGCCGCCTGCCTGGCGGGTCTCCGACACAGCCTGCGTGGGGTCACGGACAGATCTGTCTATCTGAATCCTAAACCCTGTCAAATGGTGGGAAATGAACTTTCTGGGAATTCTCCATTGCCTGGGAGGCCCTTGGCAAATCCCACTCCTCGTGGCAAGGCAGATGTGCCAGCAGGGCTGCCTGCAGCAGGGTCTGTGCCTGCCGGCTGGAGAGAGGAGAGGAGGTTGCTACCAGCTGTTTTTTCCATCCTGGTTTGTGGCAGACCTCTGGGGCTGCTGGTCAGAGCTGCTGTCAGCAGTGCCTGGTTAGAGACGCAGGCAGAGATCGATGAAGGACTGAGATGCTCCACTCATTGCTTGTGGCTCTGAGCCATCACCTGCTTCCTCCAGCACAGGGTCTGTGCTGTGAGGTGTGCCATTTCGGGGGGGGACACTTTGCAGCGGCTGCCGCCTCCCTGCACGTTTGGCCCTGAATGGCACCGTCTCTCTCGCAGGCAGTACGTGCGGGACGCGGTCGTGGGCAGCATGGGGCTGAAGCCAACGGGCAGGCTCTGCAGCGTCACCAAAGCCCGGGGGCTGCGGGCCTGCAGGTACGTCTGCCGGGGCGCTGGATGGGGGCTCCCGCGGGGACGTGGGGTGGCAGGGACCCGAACGGTCCTGAACACCTGAGCGAGTGGCTCTGGCGTGCAGACTGCTTTGCAGGGCTGGGCCGACCGTCCCTCCAGCTCAGGTGAAGAAGCAGCGGGTGTAGGGGAGATCTCCAAAAGCCCAGATAGGAAGCCAGCACCCACGTCTCCAAGGAGTCCCAGCCACGCAGCCTCCCTGGGGGGGTCTGAGCACATCCTAGTGCTGGAGAATGCCCTGCTGTGGGATGGCAGCTCTAGAGGGACCGTTCCCTTCCAGCAGGATACGGCCACTGCGCTGCCCTGGTGCTGCTTGCCTTCAGTAGGGAAGCGTAGACAGCGTTTCCAGCTCTGTAGCTGGAGGTACCCTGAGGTGATCTGGCATCCAGACATGCCCCGCATGCCCCTTGTGCTTCCTCACCCAGGCTCCCTGGGCCCAGCCCCGTTGCTTTTCTCATCCAGAGCCAGCACAGCAGAGCCAGGCTGTGGGGCAGAGCTCTGCTGGCTCAGCTCTGATGCTGGGGAGCAAAGGGTGCATCCCACCTCTGAACTGGGCCAGCAGAGCAGCTGGCGCTTTGGTGGCATTGCAGCACCAGCCACAAAATCCCTCATGCAGGTGAATTCTGTGCCTTCCCTCGCCTGCTGGTGAGTCCCCTTGGCTCGTCTGGGCTCTCTCTGTCCCTTCGCAGTGCTGGGCCAGGGAGGATCTGGGTCGCTGTCCCCTCTCCCAGGGCACCTCTGCTGGCAGGGGGAAACTGTGGTGCCTGTGTGTGTTTTCCAGAGGGAAGTTAAGAGACACTATTCTGGACTGGGAAGATTCCCTGCCTGACCGCGACCTCACGCTGGCAGACGAAGCCTGCAGGTACTGTGCTTGGGCTCTTCACACCAGCGTGGCTGCTGACGCCTGCGGCTCGCGGTGGCCCGGGAGACTGCCTGGGCTCCCCGTCCTCTGCCAGCACCGCAGCGGTCCTCGGGCCAGCCCTGCCTGGCTTTGTTCGTCGTGTTCTGTGCCTCGCAGCCCTGAGGCTGTACCCACATCACAGCAAGGCCCAGCCCTCTCCCCAGAAAGTGGCCAAGAGAAACCACTGCAAATTCTGGCCACAGCTTTGCTTCCCAGCTGGGAAGCTTGGAGAGTCCACACTGGAGCAGGGTAGGAGAAGCAGCCGGCGAACAGCCACGGCTTTTTCTCTGCCCTGGATGTTTTGTCTCCTCTCTGCAGGAAAGCTGACCTCTCCGTCACTCTGGGGACCTCTCTGCAGATCAAACCCAGTGGCAACCTCCCGCTGATCACGAAGAAGAGAGGAGGGAAGCTGGTCATAGTCAACCTACAAGCAACCAAACACGTGAGTGAGAGCGTCCTCGCCGCTCTGCGCTTGGAGCCATTCGCTCTGCGCTGCTCCTTTCCCCTCGCGTCACTTGTTTCAGCCCCATCACAGGTTAGTCCCCGCACATCGTCCCCTCCCAGGTGGCCAAATAGCAGAGTGTCCTCGCTTAGCAAACAAACAGGCTGGGCTTCCCTCGTTGGAGGGTTTAAACCTGCAACTCCCGATAAACACCTAGAAACAGAAGGTAAATCTTAAGAGCAGAATAAAAACTCAGCCTGATCTGGTGAATTACACTCTGATTAAATAACTGCACACCCGTAACCCACGCCACGGAGCAGAGGAGTTCGGTTCATGTTCAGCCCTGGTTTTGGTGCCCTAGTTGTCCAAAGTCTTTCAAATAACCAGAGCTGGGGGGTTTCTGGGATGTCATTAGAGCTCCCTTGTCCCTGTCCCACTCTGTCCTGGGCTTGCTAGCTTGGCTCTGCACCCATGTCCCTGTCTCCGGGCTGTGTTTCAAGGCGGGGGCTGCCTGCCCACACCATGATAGCGCCCTGTCAGCCCGCGGCGTAGCTGGGGAGCGGCGCCAGATGGGGTCAGGGTCTCGGTTCGTGTTCCACCAGGGATGGTGACTCAGGGACAGGAGCCCTGGAGCCCGCCTGCAGCTGAGCCATCACCCAGGCCCTGTCCCCACGCGCTCCCTGGGAGGGGACGTTTGTCCCTGCACAGTGTTTGTCCCCTAACACCGTGCTTGCCCTCGCTTGCCCCAGGACAGACAGGCCGACCTGCGCATCCACGCCTACGTCGATGATGTCATGACGAAGCTGATGAAGCACTTGGGGCTGGAGGTCCCAGAGTGGAAGGGGCCGGTGGTGGTGGAAAGTGCTGAGCTCACCAAGCCTGAACAGCTCTTCGAATTTGACCCCGGGGCTCACGGGCTGCTGAAGGAGGAGCCCCTCTCCCAGCACAACGGCACGGACCTTGGGACCACGCTGGTAGAGCGCCGTGACAGTCTGAAGCAGGAGTGTCCCAGCCCGGACACAGGGCCAACGACAGTGAAGAAGATGAAGATGGAGCCTCTCCTCACCTGACCCAGACTGTTCCCTGTCTGTCCAGACACTTGTCTGCGCCACTTTTCCTACCGACTTTTTTTTATACCCTGACCCATTGTCCCTTTTTTTATGTAAGTATTAAATACACTTGAATCATGTGTGTCAGGGCAGCTGCGCCCACCGGCCCGGGAAGGGCCTCCTTGAAATGGACCGAGCACCTCCTTTGTGAGAGGTGACAGTTGTGGGGTCCAGCAGACCTCGGAGGGGCAGAGGGACGAGGGTGCCCGGCGCCGGGGCAGCTGACGCCATCTGAGGTGAAGCTGGGGTTGGGCAGCGGCTGGGATGAGCTGCTGCGATCTCCTGGCTGGGATCTGCCTGCAGAGCCAGGCCCGTGTGCGCTGGGGATCTGGGGCAAGGGAATCCTGGCCGAATCCTGGCCTGGCGCAGGGCTGGGAGCTGCGGGATGGTGCCCCCCGGTCCTGCCGCCCTCCCCTCTGCCTCCGGCCGTGCCCGCTGTGCCGGGGCAGCCTGGGGCTCACTCTGGCCACGTGTCCCAGCTCCGTTGGACCTTGTTGGCTCGAGGTGTCCCTGGCCCAAGGGTCCTTGAAACCTTGTGGATTGCCCCATATTAAATGAAAGCAGGTGGATTTTTTCCAAAATACCTTTTATTTAGAGATGAAAATAAAGCTTAAAAAAAAAAAAAAAAAAAAAAAAAAAAAAAAAAAAAAAAAGAACAAAACCAACCAGTTGCAACATCGATAGCCAACCAGCCCAGGGCCCCTCTGGTTCCCTTGTCCCCATCCTGAGCGACCCCGTGTCCCTTCCGCAACTCCTGCTGCATCCGGGGGGCAGGAGCAGCCCCTTCCCTCCCAGTAAGGCCAGTGGGAACCGGTCTCATCTTCCCAGTTCACAGACAGAAGCAAAGCCAAGTGGGTCCAGCATCTGCCTGCGCCTGGAGGCAGATCCTAGAGGCGCCACCCTGAGGGCTTTTCCTGTAGGGGATGAAGTGCTGAGCCACCCCATCGCATCCCCCGTGGTCCCTGGGTGCTGCTTAAAGCTCCTCCGCCGGCTCCAGCACCGCGGGCCTGCTGTGGCCAGCCTTGGTCCAAGCCAGCGGCGCCAGGCTGCGGTGCGGCACGGTGCCGTCCCCAGACACGGTGTTGGCTTGATCCCCGTCCCCGTGGCTCAGCCCCTCCGAGGCGAGTGGCTCTGTGCCGTTACGGGGGGAGACTTTGTCCGGGTGTGGGGTGAACGTGTGGCCACCGAAGGCTTCGTGCAGGGTCTCGGGGGCTTCGCCCAGGTGCTCTGGCCACAGCAGCTCTGGGGCCTTCTCGTCCCCGGCTTGGGGCTGTGCGTAAGCCACGCGGGAGGCGGCCGCGTTGTGCAGGGACCTGGAGAAAACTGAGCGCGAAGGAGGGTCAGGGCCCGCTCCAGCGCCCAGAGCTCCCGGTGCAGCCCCGGCGCAGCCCTCACCTCGCACGGGTCCGAAGTCGCCGTCCGCCTCGGCCTTGCTGGGGGCAAAGGGGCTGATGGAGGGGAAGACGATGAGCGCGAAGGAGAGCAGCAGGACCTGGGGGCAGAGCGGGGACGTCACCGTGCACAGTGGTGGAGGGAGAACCGGGTTCTGGGACGCGGCTCCCAGAGAGGGGGCTGGTGGCAGAACCAGGGCTGCGTTCCTCCGTCCCTCCCAGAGCACGTGCCCCTGCCAGCGCGCCTCCAGCCCTCCCTGCCTCCATCCCTGCCTCCCTCCCTCCCTTCCTCCATCCCTCCCTTCCTCCATCCATCCAACCTTGGAGCATCTATCCCTCTGCCTTAGCACACGTCCATCCCTCTGTCCGTCCCTCCATCCACCCCTGCCAGCGCATCTCCGTGGGTCCGAGCCTCCCTCCCTCCGTCCCTCGAAGCGAGGGGGCTGTGGCGGGTCTGGGGGCTCCACGCACCGCGATGCAGGTTCCCGTCTGTGCTGCCTTGTTGCTTGACTGTACCACGAGGGCCTGAAGCTTCTTCAGCTGCTCCAGGAGGGACCTGGGGACAGGGACATCAGGACCTCCAAGCCCCTCCTGCCCCCCAGTAGGTCTGGCCGGGGGTGGCGGGGGCAGTCCCAGCCCCATCCTACCCCGCCTTGTCCCCATCCTGCCCTGGGAACACCTACGAGTTCTGCTTCTCCAGGTGCAGGACTTTCCTCTGCAGCTCCTGGTTCTGGGCCGTGCACGCCGACATCCTGGGGGACAGGGAGAGGGGGACCAGGTCGGTGGGGGGACAGCTGGGGGGGCTGGCAGGGAGCAGTGTGCCCATCACCTGCCAGCCGGGTGCCCCCAGGGTGCCCGGGGCAGCTGGGAGGTGCCCAGAGCAGGGGTTTGGGGTCCGTACCGGCTCTCCAGCCCGTCAATATACTCCTTCTTCTTCTTGCGGCTCTCCTGAGCCGACTGCTTGTTCCTGATCTTCCGCCGGATCTTCTTCAGCACCCGCTCCTCGTACTGGGGGAGACGGGGGGGTCAGGGCCGCCGGGGCTGGGACCCCCCCACTCCGAGCCCTTCCCAGGCACGGTGGGACCCACCTTGGTGAGGGGCAGCTGGGTGGGCAGGGACACCCCCTCCTTCGCCAGCAGCTTCTTCTCGTCCTCCGTCAGCACCAGCTCCTGGAACTGCCCCTGGCTCTGCCTCAGCAGGGAGCTGGGCGCCTGCGGCTGCTGCGGGGCCACGGATAGGTGACGGCCCTGGGTGGCGGGGTCACCCCGCGCCTGAGCCCAGGGACCGTGGTGGGGACCACGGTGCCGGGATGAGGATGGGATCGTGGTCCAGGAAGGGACAGGGATGGGAGCGTGGTGTGGGACAGGGGAGAAGTGTGGGGTCAGGGAGGGATGGGGACAGGAATGGGGAGGGGATCATGGTGCAGGGACAAGGCTGGGCACAAGGAGGGATGGGGACACAGGGGCAGGGAGGGGACTCACAGCATCAGAGCTGCTGGAGAGCAGCAGGTCCTTGACAGTGAGGGTGCAGGATGCGGGCGGGGAGACGACGGGCAGGTCCTGGCTCTCCTCCAGGAAGAAGCCGGGGTGCCACATGTCTGGGTGAGGGGAGAGCGGAGGCTGTCAGCAGTCCCGTGTCCCCCTCTGTCCCCAGTGTGGGACCCTCACCCCTGCCACGGCCCCTGAGCCACGGTGACTTGCTGCCACCTACCAGTCCAGTGGCCCCAGACTCTGTCCCCCCAAACTGTCCCTCTGGTCCTGCCCCAGCCCCCCCCGCCTGCCCCACGCTGCTCAGCCCACCTCAGCACCCCCAGTCCCCCCAAGCCTCCCTCCTCTTCCAGGCTCCAACACCAGTCTGCCCAGTTCACCCCAGTTCCCAAGCTCTCCCCACTCCCCCCAGCTCCCCCCAAGTCCTCCAGACCTCCCAGTTCTCCCCAGTCTGCCCAGTTCCCTCTGGTCCCCCCCAGCTCCCCTAATTTCCTCACTATCCCCGAGAGACCCCAGCTCCCCCATCCCCCTCAGCTCCCCAGCATCCCCAGTCCCTCCAGTGCCCCCAGCCTGACTCTTTGCCCAGTCTCTCCCCTGTGGCTCACCCAGGTCGATGGAGACCTCGGGGTGCAGGACCTCAGACCCCCCTGGGAAGGGCAGAGCCCGACAGGTGTTGGTGTAGGGGTACAGGACCTCGCTGGGACCCCCGTCGCAGCACCTGGGGGGGCTGTCGAGCTGGTCGGAGGGGGGGTCCTCAGAGACCCCGCTGTCACTGGTGGCTGGGGACCAGCTGGGCGAGTCCAACACTGAGTCCCCGGAGCCCAGGATGGAGCTGAGGAAGTCCTCGCTGTCCTGGGCACGCTGTGGGGACAGGGGCGCCCGTCACCACGGGTGCCCGTCCCCCTGGGGTGCCCACAGGGGCTGCCCGCGCTGCGGGGTGGTCCCAGCTCCCAGCAAGGCGTGGGGATGGGGCTCTCCTGCCAGAGCCAGGGATGAGGTGGGGATGGGCCCCCCGGCCCGGGGGACTCACCCCATCCTCGTGCCAGGCGCCCGGCGGCGTTCCCAGCTCTACACCACGGAGGATCCCATCCTGGCGGTCGAAGAGGAGGTCCAGCAGGTCGAGGCTGTCGAGGCTGCCCACGCCAGAGGCCATGGCTGCAAGGCAGCAGGGTCAGGTCCCCAACCCGGTCCCCATGATCGCTCCCCCGCCTCCCCTCCCAGTTGCACGGCCACCCCAAATCGTGGGGCGGGCATGGAGCTGGTGAGCGGGAGCAGGGAGCGTGTTCGGGCATGGGCACATATGTGCGGGACCACAGGGAGGTGTATCTGCATGCGTGTGGACATGTATGACTGTCCGTGTGACCATGTGGATGCGTGCACGGCGGGACGTGCATGTGGCCACACCAGCACACGCGTGTGCAGAGCTGCGTGTCTATGCAGCCACATGACCATGCAATGTGCACGCGTGTGCCCACGCAGACATGGGTGTGTGAACACGCACACATGTGTTGGCACCTGTATGTGAGCACATGTGGGCACATCTGGCAAAGCCCTACGTGCACACATGTGGGAGGGCGAGCACAGGCGTGCAGGGGTGCAGCAGTGACCCCCGCTGCCTCCTTCCAGCAGCTGAAGTTCCCAAATCCTCTATTTTTCCCCCCAAGAGAACTGCACAGCCAGGGGCTCCCCGCAGGCACCCCGCTGCCCCAGCCCCACCGTGCCCCCCAAGTGCAGGAGCAGGATGAGCACCCGGACCCGAGGGCTGGGTCAGCTCCCCCGTCCAGCCCTGTCCCACATGTGTGACCACTCGGGAAGATCAGGTTAATCATTTTGGGTGGCAAGCGGAGGGGGAGGAGACTGCTGCCACCGGCCAGCCCCGAGGAGGGGACTCAGCCCCGCTCTGCCGCTGCCACCCCAGGCACTGCTCGAGACCCTGGACTCAGAGAAAACCAACAGGCCAACTGACTAGTTGCCCAACTGGCCAATCAGCCAACTTACAACCCAACTAACCGACCAGCTGACCAGTCAGTTGACCACCTGACCAACCAGTTAACCAGCCAAATCAATGAACCGATCAAGAAACAGACCAAATGGTCAACCTGTTGGCCAACTGACCAACTGATTGACTGACCAAATAACCAACCCACTGACCAACTGACTGACCAGTCAACTGTCTGATTGATTGATTAACCAACCCACCACCCAACCCACCACTCAACCCACCACCCAACTACCCAACCCACTCCACCCAACCACCCAACCCATCACCCAACTGCCCTTCCGAACCTATTAAGCACTGACTCAAGCGTCCTTCAAGCCAGGTTTGGGGACGATTGTCATTACCATGATGTTTGGCTGGCCAACCCAGGCAAGGGGCTTTATTGCACCCTGTCTTTCATCCTCAGTGAGCCCTGGTGGCCCCATGGGACCATCAGGTAGAGGGACCCTGTTGAGCACCGGCAGCCAGGACGTACCTGTGTGAGATCCCATTCCCACAGATCCGCCCTGTCTTCTCAACCCCCTTGCTGTGCAGGGGAGCGGGATGGACACTGAGCCTGTCCACCTCCTCCTCCTCCGTGGTGCCCTGACCCAAGTGGCAAAGTTTAAACTCCAACCACACAGAAATAACGTCCCAGATTGCAAAATCTCCTGTCCCTGATTGGGGACAGCGGTGAGCAATGGCAGGGCCGCCCCGGGGACGGACCTGCTGCGCTCCGTAACTCATTAGCCAAATGTTTTTGTCCTCCTTCACCGAGCGGGGCAGGAGGGGCCTGGGGCTGGTGAGCAAAGTCCGAGTGCTGTGATTGCCCGTGAACTTTCACCCATTTTTGGGGACAACTTCCCTTTTTTTCAGACGAGCGTATTGGTGTTCATCGCATTTTAGAGGTATGGAGAACAACATCCGGGGAAGACGTTGACTTGGACTCTACCACTTATGGCTTCCTCCACAACAAACCTCGGTCTCCTCTGCTCCCTGCGGCTGGGGCTGTCCCGGACGCCTGGGTTCTGCTGCCTGCCCATCCACTGCCTGCCGGCGGGGCTGCCTGCACCCTCCCTGCCTCAGTTTCCCCCACGGCTGTGCCGAACACGCCACGGTTCGTTGGCCGCTGCGTTCATCCCTCCCCATCGCCCCGCGGCGAGGCCGTCAGCCGGGTCGCCCCTCCAGACCAGATCCCCTGGGATCCCCCCGGATCCCCTTCCCGCGGGGAGGGGACGGCTGAGTAAGGCGGCGTGTGACGGAGGCGCGGCGCGGGGACAAGGCCGTGCCCCGTTATCGGCCGCTCGACGCCCTCTGACCGGGCGCAGCGGCGCAGGCAGCCGCCCGCCCGCCCGCCGCTCCCTGCTTTATGGCCCCCCCGGGGGGGGCGGGGCACCCCGGG